TCGAAGAAATCGGAGCAACGGCAAGCTAACAGGGGTTTTTAGGAAACCAAAGTTGGAGTAACGACAGGCTAGCAGGGATTTTTGCGATTCAATGCACACATATTGATGTTATTCAAAACCGTGGCAAGCCAGCACGGATTCCTGGGGACGTGACGTGGCAACTCGAAAGAAATTTGGATCAGCACTGCAACGGATTTCCGGCAAGCTAGCAGGGTTCCTTTGGGAAGCAGAAATGCTAAATTGACTAGAATTCGTTTCGATAGTTTGTGATCCTAGGCAGGCTAGCGGAGATTCTTTAGAACCTTGAGAAACGCTCCAAAATCATCACTAAAACATCCGACAAGGGCAGGCTAGCAGAGATTGTTGCGGAAGTGTGGATTTTTGGTGCTGGGCTAACCAGCTTTTGAAGCCGGAAGCAGACTAGCAAATATTGTTTTTGGAAAAAGAGTCTGGGTCCGGCAGGGACTTTGGGAATAGCGGGAATAAATTAGAAATAGCGGCCGGTCGTTAGAAAACTCAAATTACGTATATGTTCTTAGCAAGCTAGCAGAAATTATTTGAGGAAAAGCTCAAAAATTCGTCTGGAGAAATGCCTTGGCCAAGCGCCAAGAAAATTTGCCCGACCACCCCGCGAGGCTAGAAAATGAGGGCGGTCGGGAACGAATGGACCCCCGAGGCCGTCAAAATGTCTCCTTCGGGCCATTCTCCTTTTCTGAAATGAGCCATGTCTTCTGGCACAAGACGAGGTCTCATCCCTGTGGCCTTGCTAGCCCGAAAATGGACATGAAAAAGCGGTCAAGCGACAGCAGAAAAAAAGAGAGAAAGCTAGCTAGAGCGAGAGACAGAGAGAATGAGAGAGAGAGTGAGAGAGAAATACCGAGCGAGGGAGGGAGAGAGAGACAGAGAGGTAGTGTGAACGTGCGAGGAAGTGAGAGAGAAAGAAAGAGAGTCAGGGGAGCTAGAGAGAGAGAGAGAGAGAGAGAGAGAGAGAGAGAGAGAGGCAGCCAGCCAGCGAGAGAGAAAGAGACAGAGAAAGAGGGAGAAATTCAAATTTTCAGTTTTAGGTTACGTGCCAAAATGGAAATAATACCCAAATACCCCCTTGAAAATGGAATACGGGAAGCCCACTGGCCATCTGCTAGACAGCCTCCCTTCCTTCTTCGGGTCGTTGGATTAGGTTGTTATGACGGATCTCCACCCGGGGCTCCTCCAATTCTATTTTTTTGAAGCCTCAAATTTCCGGGTGGGGGCGCCCTCTCGATCGCTGCGTATGCAATGAAAACCTATTATCGTAAACGGCAGGATACTGCATTTGGAAATTTTATCGAGTAGAGGAAATTAGGCAACACTTGTAAATACTTGGAACGCAAAAAATGAAAGCTTGTAGCTTGTAGCTGGCAGGTTGTAGTTGCCGAAAATAATGGCGTTTTTGCTTCTAAGAATTTTATGAGCAAGTGTGAGCAAGTCAGCGTGAAATAAAGGCCAGTCTGAAGTTTGTAGTTTGTAGCTTTAAACGTTTTTTTAAATGCGTAAGGTATCAGAAGCAGGTTTCAAAATTCTCAGCTGTTTTTCCACCACGTTTTTGTGGAGACACTCCACTCAAAAACGGAAATTGGTAATCTCCTCAACAGGTGAAAATGTGTTTGCTAGGTATTTTTATTTAGCCGCTGCTGCCTGGATCTCCGAAATTTCTGCAACTAAAGGGGCATCGGAAACTGCAAAGCTCCGGCTTTGAACAGCCAATAAAAATTGATGGCTTTGGGCAGCGCGTCTGGTCTTGAAAAAGAGGTTCGTGAATGGGATGAAAGTGAATGGAAAAACCTAGGGGTTATTTGGATCTCGAAATGTTGCAATTTTTTTGCGGGTTTTCTTCAAAGTATTAAACTAGTTTAACAACATGTGAAAACCCTTGTAACTATAAAAACTCTTAAGAAAGCGGATTTTCGCGAGCCGAGATTTTGATCATCTGCGCTTTCAGGTAAATCTTATCCGTGAAAAATATGCAAGCTTTCCAGCGGAAGCCACATCTGCAGCTCGGAGATTTTTCCGCTTGTTAAAGTAGTAACCAAGGTAAAACTAGGCTTTCAGAAAGCCCAATGCACCGATAATATTTTTTAAGGTACCACTGCCGAAGCGCTACAAAACTGCATGTAAATTATGCTCATTAAATTTAACCCTGCTTTTACAAACCTGTTCAAAAGCGGCGAGACAGAAGTTCTATTAATTTAGTTTTCTAGCTTTAATCCTGTTATTCATTATACCCCACTCGCCTTAAAAAAATTACAAAAAAATCGTTGGCTAGCTTATTTCAAAAATTTATTCAAAATTTCGGGATTATAGACTGGTCCGCTGAAATAAAACTGCCCTCAAAATCGTCAAAAACCCTTCAAAACAGCGCACAAAATGAAGGGAAAAATAATGCCTGAGAAAAAGCAATTAGGCAAGGGCCCATAACCCATCCAAGGGGCCCCAGGGTAACGGAATGCGATCCACTGGTGGTGGGTCCTAGGCTAGAGTGGCCCAGTCCAGCCAGGGGGGAATATTAGACCGGGAGGCTTTGGGTTGGGGTGAGCACGCAGCATATCCCAACAAGGGCCCAGAGCGGGCCCAGAGAGGGCCCAGTGGCCGAAAGGAGAGGGGCCCAGGAAAGGACCCCGAGAGACAGGGCCAAAATCGAGGCCCCAGAGGGCCCGCCGAGGGCCCGGGCAGAATTTGGAGGATTTTAGAAAAGACGTAGATAGTCTGGGAATTTGAGAGGGCCCAGAGAAGGGCCCGGGGGCCCTTTTCTGCGCGGTTTTTCGCGTGTTTCTCCCCGCCCTCCATCTCTACAGCGGCCACCCCATTTTTGCATAGCAGAGCCCCACAGGGGTCCTGGGCCCCCCTGGGCCCCACCCTCCTGTTTCACAATCGATAGCCTGGCCCTGTCTGGCTGGGCCCAACGCACCGGCCACCACCAGAAGAGCGAGGAGGAGGAGGAGGAGGAGGAAGAGGTGACCCGGGAGAACCACCTCCACCACCAGAACCACTTGTTGGTCACTACGGGGCAGTACAATGGACGGGATTTTAAAAAGTAAAAAAGAGTGGAATGGTATTAAAAATGTAAAACCCGACGCCATAAAATTTGCTCTGCAATATTTTAAATCTACTGGTGGAATTTGTGCTGCCAACTAAATGTATTTACCTGGTGCTCCTGGGCACTACGAGGCACTACAACAGACGCAAGCGTGAAACGTGTAGATCAGTTCAGCATCGGCTTAACGGACCTTGGCAAAGGCCTTGGGATTTTTTTAATCTACTGGACTAAATTTTATTTATCTGTAAGTTTAGAATCAATGGCCAATGGGTTGTGCTCTTACTTGAGCATGAATACAAATGCGGGAGAGCGAACCAGAGAGACACCGAGAGAGAGAGCATGCGAGAGAAAGATTGAGCGAGAGAGAGACAGAGACACAGAGGGAGAGAGAGCAAGAGAGAGAGAGAGAGAGAGAGAGAGAGAGAGAGAGAGAGAGAGAGAGAGAGAGAGAGAGAGAGAGAGAGAGAGAGCAGAAAAGGAGAGCGAGAGAGCGAGTGAGAGAGAGAGAGAGCAGAAAAGGAGAGAGAGAGAGAGAGAGAGAGAGAGAGAGAGAGAGAGCAGAAAAAGAGCGCGAGAGAGCGAGAGAGAGAGAGTGAGTGATTAGAGCGGTAAATTTTTGGTCACGTCGTCCTTAAGTTGATCCTACCGTTTCAGTGTTTTTCAAGCTATGGACTTCCTCTGGGGCCACTATTGGAAAAAATAGAAATTTTGAGGTTTGTTCTCCGTCTTTTCAGAAGCCACGTAGCAGAATTCATTCACAAAATGCCATAAAACTAGAAAAAAGTGCAGGGTTCGCCTTTAGAAAATCTGCCTTTAGAAAAACAAGGCCCAACCGAGCTAAATAAATTGAACGGGTAAACGTTTGCCAGCGTCCGGGTTTCTGGAGGGGAGAAAACGTGCGTTGTTGGGGTTGTTGTCGAGCCGCGGGGCGTGAATGGGGCTATTTTGGGGTAAAAATGGCCGACGGCCATGGCAGTGGGAAACGAATTGCGTTCAGAAATGAGGCGAAGAGCTGAAAGGACTTTAAAAACCTCTTACGATTTTTCTGAAAACTCACGTTGCATGGATTTTTTAATTTAAATGGTCAAATAAAATTTCGATCAAATAGTAATTAAATATATACCCGCGTACTGTCAAAAGGCCAAAATTTCAGGTGAGAAAGTTTTTCGGATTTTTTTACTCTAATGGATTTTTCTGTCTGGCCAGCTGGATTAGCGTTTTGCCCTATAGTGTACTTTTGACCGCTCTGTTGTCGGCGTGGGAATAATGTGCCTCGGGTTATTTTTGTCTGGTAACTTGAGAAGTGGAAGAGACTTTTTGGACTAGAGCGTTGTTTAGGAAAAATTATGTGGGTCGAAGAACGGGGCCGGAGGATGAGAACAACCTGAAAATGAGGACGACGAGTTAACTGAAGCTATAGGTTCAATATTCTAAAGTAACACCAGGAGAAATCCCAGAAAATGATTTAGGTAACTTGAAACAATTCACATCTAATCTTCCAAAGATTTGTATGCAGCTGATGGATCTTAATAAGATTCGGCGTATTTTTTAATGTTTTTCCCTGAAATTTCCTTATAACTGGATTTCTTCCTCGATTGCTTAGCCTAGAACATAAGAAAACAAGTTCCGACAGTTTCCAGATATTCCAATCGCAATAACCAATTACAATGAACTTTAGGCATTTTTACTTTTTGTGATAACCTGCCGATTGTATTGCGATTTTATTAGATTAACATAATCCTTGTTAAAAATTGATGTTAGCAAAAGGTGCCTACCAGTAGTGATACATCAGTCATCAATTTCCACGCTGCCCGAACCCGCATCCCGTTTAGTGATTTTGGTGTTTGTGTTCTTGTTTAGTGGCTCTTTCTTGAGTCGGCATCTTCCGAGTCCCTTTAGACACAACTTATGCAAATATTGGTGCGTGATGATGCTGAACAGGGAGGGGAACGGCGTCGACCATCCGGGCCTGAGCGATCGTTTCTACACTGGAGCCGGTGTTTCGCTGGTCAGAGCCGGTCGACGCATTCCCGAACCGTTCGCTTGCTTTTGCCTTCAAGGCAGAACGCTAGAAAACGACCTTTTTGCCGTAATCTTCTTTGCAATATAGGCAATATATTTTGTGATACATTTACGACAATTTTTATGAAGTTTCGAGGTCAACATGGCGTACCGCCATTGGCCTTGAAAGATATAAATTTCGTTTTCGTATTGCAGCTCTTAGGGTCTAAATTTCAAAAAAATAAAAACGTTTTTAGTTTTTAACTTACTAAAAACAAAAACGTTTTTCATTCAGATTACAGGATCCTAAGATACTGCTTTTTACCGCACCACCGTAATAAATTTTAAATTTTGAATAATTGCCGTTATATCATGCTTTCCCCTTTTCCAGTGAGGTACAATCCACATACCTGCCACCGGACAATCGCTGAAAATTGCCCTAGTATACCCCTAGAAAAAATGGCCAGCGATGTATGGCGACGGAATTCGGCGGTTATTCCGCCGTGCACCCAATTACGGACACAATCCGGGGGCACATTTCTGTGTTTTTACTGTGGTTCCGCAAATTCCGCGGCGCCGCCGACGAGCTCATCGTCGACCCAAAATCGAACAACCGAATTTCCGAGTTGGCCAGCGCCAATTAGTGGAATAACGGAACGCGCTGGCCTTTTTTGAGTGGGAGGGACGTAAAGAGGATTGTCCTGTAGTCGTTGGCTGAAATTCCTAGACCTGCAAAAAGGACAGGCATGTCAGCATTATTGGAATTCGTACTTGTCGAACATGACGGATCAGCTTTCCGGTGTCTAGTGGAGATTTTTGAATGCTGTCTGGATTTAGAACTATTGTATCCTCCAAAATTCATTGTTTTTAGACCTCAAAAATTTATCAAATTCAAATTCTACACCAAATGCTCAGCTTTTCCCGTTTATAAAAAAACAGGAAACCACCTTACCAAAATTAAGCATTTTAAAGGTTCGAAAAAAATACGCCGGTTTTATGCTTATAACGGTTTAGCAAATTGCTTAAGGCCGTACGCCGTACTGTATATGTTTGAGTCCATTCTTTCCTAAACTACGCTATAACATTTTGGGCCTGTCCTACCTCTCTGTTTCTGTATTTACCGTTCGCCTTTATCGGCTTTCTTTTTCGGGTCTTCCGGAGTTTATTTGCAGAAATTTGGTTCTAGTTTTGCCTGCTAAAAAAATTCGGGCCTATCCATAATGCTGCCCCTGTGGTTTTGAACAGATTTTGATGCGCTAAGCACGCTAAAATTATGTATTTTCGTGCAGACTCTTGCAGCTTGAGAAAAAAAAGCAAGATTTTCGCGCGCGAATGGTTCTAGAATCCAATCTTTTCCGGTATACCTGAAAGTTCGGGTACTCCAATGGTTTCAAATGTATATTTTATTTTAGTACGCTTTATGGTTTATTCGTTCATGCTATTTCCCATGTCCACCGAGACACCGAGTATTGGGCCAGCGCGGACCGAAATTGCCCCCATGGATGGGCCATTGCCGAACGCGATCGCAAGCTGCGGTGGGATATCGATTCTCGCCTTTTCAAAAAGCGGATAGTCCAAAATGCGAGGCGCCATAATTCTCGCGGTGTTTTTATTGCTTTAATAATTTTCATCATTTTACCTTTATTCCCGATTTAATATGGAGCTTGATTTCAGCCTAGATGCCACTTGTTTAGTTAGCCCGTGTCCCCGGTTCGGTTTTGAGCCGGAACGTTTTTTCAGCGTTGTTTTGGGGAAAAGTAGTCGTTTTGTGACACATCACTTAGTCTATGTGAACCCCTTGAAGGGGGAACCCCTGCAATTTTTCCGGGTCTATCCAATCTGCGGTTGCTGTGGTTTCCGGCAGCGCCGCGCTGAAACCACTGCCGACGGTTTTAGTTTGAATGCTCGGAAATGGCAATTATGGCTTCGCTAAAAATTTTCAGCAACTCGGTTCAGCGGCTTCAGCTTTTACTTTCACAGATTTCACACTTTCAGAATTTTAGCTGCGGCCAGCGTAAAAATCCAAATTCTATACTTTAATTTTTGAAACGTTTTTCTCGCTTTGTAAAGTTAAAAAAGTTGAATTCTAGCTTTTATGATGGCTTTTCTAAAACCATGTGCGCCCAGCGGGGACGCTTCAAAGAGTTACGAATTTTGCTATTGCTGCCAAAACCAACATCATTTGTTCCTCTGCTGTTGACTGAACTTCTTATCAAGCCAAAACAACGGTGAAAGCAAATAAACAAAAGCCTAATTGCCAAAACCCCTTGTTGCGCGTGCTATGTTCGGTTTCTGCTCCAAACTCGATAAGGTTTATGCAGTTTTTTTCTTCTCTGTGGTTTCTGCCCAACGCTTACTCACCGCACAACTTTTGACTGGTGCGTGGGGGTTAGGCAAATTCGGCAAGCTACAGGATGCGCTGGCACAGAACGCATAAAAACACACTTCCGAGACCGTATTTGTACCCGAACCTTGTGAGATTTAAAAACCAAATATCTTCTGTATTTCTTTTAACAAAGGGGTTTATTAAACGAAAAATTTTAGAGCGGCTTAAGGGCCCTTGGAAAGATGGCATTCATTTCCACGCTTCACCTTTCTAACAGACTTTAGCAGAGTCTAAAGGCTAAAATCCAAAGCTCCCAAATTCTAGCTGCTACTGACTCACCAAAAACAAAACCATCCCCTGGTCTATTTTATATTTGCACAGGCCAAATGCGGGGGTTCGGCTTTTTTGGGATCGACCCGGCCTGGATTGGAGCGAGCGGATCGAAGCTTTAGTAGGATTTGACATTGATCTGATTTTTTAGTTGGTTGTTGCCTCATTTCGTTCTTGATCTTCTTGGGTGCAAAAAATGACGATAATCTGAATGCCCTTTGATCTCTGCCATTTGTCTTGGTCTTGCTCACTCATTAATCGCTAGACTTTCAGGGAACGGATTAGTTTCTTGACTCGGAAGGGCGTTTTCTGCAATTTCCTGAATTTACTGCGTCGAGACCTATTGTTGCCTTTTACATAAAAGGTTTCGGAAAACGTAGGTCCAAGCCGCTAATTTTCCAAGCCGACGACCCGGAAAATTGGGTGGTTCTGGCGCCTTGGCCCTGCTGACCACGACACTTTTCCGTTGCGTACTCAGAAGTTTGGTTTTTCTCTAAAGCTATGAGGTTAATGTGGAAAGTACCGCTTTCATCGTTTTCGTATTAGAATTCCGTTTTCACTCGTGTTTTAACCACGTTTTTATATCTTCCGTCTTTCTTGCTCTGTTTAATCCAGTTTTTCAGCCGTTTTCGATGCTCAAATGGCTGTTATTACTATCTTTTATTCCTGTAGCTGCATCCATGGAATTGCAAATTTTGCCGCAAAATTTCATGCTTCGAACCGATGATAATAGGTATATTTAGCCTTAAAGAGATGAGGACGGCATCTGTTGAACCCCCCTTGGGGAGGGGGGGTTCAACAGGTCCCGCGGCGATCTCGCGCGAGAGAGGGCTCCCAGAGGAGAGGCGCAGAGACATTTTCTTTCCCTCGCGTAATCGATTGACTTATGCCGCCCCTATCTCTTTAAGAACCGCGCGGATTTAGACCTTAAAATCAAGCAATTTATAAGCTATGGAAAAGAAGTAGTGAAGACCACGTACGCTATTTAAATAGGTTTTCTTGTTTTCAGCACAATCCAACTGACGTTCACGAGTAACGTCACCGGGTTGCAAGACGTTTTCTTGACATGTGCCGATGAGAGCATCTGCACCGTTAGCCCTCGATTTCTGACCGCCGATTTCTCCGCGGAAAATCGGCACACGGTGCAATTTAACGCTACCGTACACGGGGTGTTTCTCGGTATCACGAAGTTGACGGTTTCTGTATATGAGAGGTGAGTTTTCAGTTTTTTAGCCGAACAGCGGCTTAAAAACAACCCGATTTTTGCTTTTTAGGCAATGGTCCGACTACACGATCAAAATCTTGCGCTCCGACTGGGATCATACGAAATCGAAGATATTCATGGGAGTGATGGTCCTCTTCGTGCCTACCATCACATTCATGATGGGAACACAGCTGAAAATTGCGAAGTAAGTGAAAGAGTTACGTGGCAGCGTATCTCGTCAAGTACGAAACATTCTGAAGCAGAAAAGCTATTATACAGCATTCAATCCTTAGCCCACCGTGTCCAAATCATTCGCTTCTCAGTGCCATCAAAATCAACAATGTTTCCAGAATCCTCGGCATCTGGCGACGTCCGTTTGCCCCGTGTATCAGTCTGCTGTGTCAATTTGGCATCATGCCGCTGGTGAGGGCTATTTGCTTGTACCGGGCAGTTACTACATTCGGGTTGCTCCCGCTGGTTTTTACGTCTACGTTCTTTGTAGCTTGTAGTCCTGGTGAAAGCGACGTTGTCATAAATTAGTTTGGAGGGATCAGCAAGCTCAAAAATTCGAATATCATAACGACTAGGCTGCGCTTTGAGCCAAACGACGCGGTCCGAACTCATTTTGATAGCTTTGACGGGGACATAAAAACGGAATTGACCCTTTCGCTGGCGCAATTGAATCTGACGAGTATTTATCTGTATCTAGCGATTGAAAAGGGTAGATTTTGGGGGTTTTCTAGCGTCCTTAAGCTATCCAAATTCCAGGTTGCCTACACTTTGGCCAAGTACGTATTATACCCCGAAGGAGCAGCCATCCAACTCGCTCTCTTCGCTGCCGGAACTTGCCCTGGTGGAGGGAAAAGCTCATTTTGGACGATCATCTACGGCGGCAATCTAGATCTCTCAATTTCACTCACTTTTGCTCAGAATATTTTTGCTATCGGTGGGTTTTTCGAAAAACGGAAACTTGCATTGTTCTTACTGGAACTAGCGACAATACCCGGTGTCCTGTCATTTTTGAGAATATTTTTAGCTGCGATGCCAGTGTGGATCGGGACGTTAGGCCGGGAATTTTCTACAAATTCCGTGTCGATACCTTTTGTCGATATTCTTGAAGCACTAGCTTTCTTATTGGTGCCAACAACGGCTGGGATGATATTTATTCACTACAAGGCGGCTCTATACGAGAGGATACATGGATGGATTAAGGTATGGAACGCATTAATTTTCTCTAAATTCTTCTAAAATTATTCTTTGGCTAGCCAAAAATTAAAAATATGTCTTATCTTTTGTGATTTTTACTCGAGAATATCTAGTTTTTATTCCAAAGTTTGCCTTGGGCAGATTTAATTCTTAAAACTGGAGAAATTCGAACCTTGTTTTTGCGCGCTACAAATAGCTAAACAAAATTCTTACAAAATTTTCCATTAGCTCAAGTAATATAATACAATAATAAATAATTTTATAACAATAATGTAAATGGTAAAAATATAAAATTTAAATAAAAATTAAACCTTAAAATAACATGTTTTATTCAACATCTAGAAAATCTCGTGGGTAATGACGATCATCATGCTGGCAGTCGGGCTGTATGTAAATTTCTACATCGTATACCTGATCACATGGCGTATTATTTTGTGTGGTTGCTTGTTACCGTGGTCAGGTAAAGGAATTAAGAATCTTCGAAACAAAATCCATTAAGGCTATATCATTGCCTTTATCGTTGGTACTATATTCCGGATGGAACTGCGGGATAAGATTACGATTTCTATTGAGACGGGCCTTCAACATGTTTGTAAGTTCTGTTTTGCTGGTTTAAAGAGATGAGGACGGCATCTGTTGAACCCCCCTTGGGGAGGGGGGTTCAACAGGTCCCGCGGCGAGAGAGGGCGCCCAGGGGAGAGGCGCAGAGACAATTTCTTTCCCGCGCGTAATCGATTGACTTATGCCGCCCCTATCCCTTTAAGCATTTTTCTGTTTTTTCCTTTTTTTCTGCTGACATGTGCCTTTAAAGAGCTGCAAACGAATCCACGCCAGTTATTGGCTAGACCTCGACAATCACTCAGCAAAACACATATGAATATAAAAACGCGTCCCTTGGCAGACCGAGTATTAGCGTAGCGTAGCGTACCTAGTCGCCAGGGGCGTATCAATTCTCGCACTTGCTAGTCCCCCTGAAACCCCGGATTTTCCTATCGACGGCTCATCGCGACAATTTTTCAGCGATCGCGATGGTCATCCTGTTTGTGACATTTCCGGAACCGGAAGTGGATCTCGCTCTTGTCGTGCTGTTTGTGCATGTGATGATGACTGATAAGGTGAGACGATTAAAATAGAGGAATTTAGCCGCAGCTGCCCTTAGCTGGCATATCCTTAGAGAGAGAGAGGGAGAGAGAGGAGAGAGAGAGAGAGAGAGAGAGAGGGAGAGAGAGAGCTAAAATCTCAAAACATTTTTCGTTTTAGCCGCTCCTAATCGGCTACGGCTGCATGCTGCTCTACCGGAAATTCACCTCAAAACCGGCCGAAGATCTGGAAAATGAGAAAAAGGTGCCGATCAAGGAGACGTTCACGGAGATTACGCTGGCTGACAAGGCTCAGGTTTGACTTTCATAAATTGCCTGATCGGGTTTGGGAAATCAATATTTTTTGGGCTAAAAATTCATGTCTTAGGATAAGCCGCTCGCCACCATCTACGGGTCAAATGTCACGCTCACGAACGAGCGGATAAATACGATATTTTAAGCGACGAATTTGATGTTATGATATGTTTTTTGTGATAGCTTTTAGCCAAATCCGGGTATGTTCGTGCGTGCAAGCATAAATATGATATTTATTACATGAAGTATCCAAGTCACGCAACGTCGAAATAGCATTTTTCTTGGGTTCAATTCCATCTAACTTGATTAACTCGGAGGAATTTAATCAACTTTTTCGCAGAAATGAACGCAGTTTGAAAAGGTAATTAAATCGAGTTGAAGAGAAAAACCAACCTAGACAGTTTAACTTTCTTTTTGCCATTTTCAGCTTTAATTTGCCCTCTGAATTTCTGTCTGTAAGGTTTTCATTTGGTAATTTTATCACCTTTTCTCTAAAAGCTCGAGTACCTTGGTCTCCTGACGCAGCAAGACCTAGAGTGTAATTACCATCCGAAAGTAGCTCAAAGCTATAGCAGCACTACGAGTCCGGGCTCCTCACGTCAACTAATCAACCCGGGAGAGGAGGAGCCGAGGGAAAAGCATCCAGCGGGAAAAGCTTCTATCAGGCTGGACCGAAAGTCTTTACAATCGATCTTCAAGCCGGTTTTGTAAAAACATTTACCACCCGGCCGCCGGAATTTTTATACCGATAGTTAAGTCTAAGATGCTACTATAGCACATAAAAATATTTAGTCAATCTAGCCTGTATTTATTTTTCTATGACCGGTTCTCCTTGAGACACTGGTTGACCCGACGCGGCGACATCCGCGAGCCCTCTGCCCTTTCAGCCTTATGAAAATTTCTAAAGTCAGAATTCTGCCAGAATAATTGGCGGTTTATAACGCCAGTATCATACCTTTCTAGCTATGGTGCCTAATTCACCAAACAACTGTAGAGCCCGTCGTTATTGCCTATAGTATGGAACAAAATCCCGATTCGGGATGAGTCTGATGAAATGGGGGGTTAACGATCCAATTACGACAGCGAATGTAAAAGCGCTCCACCTATTTTGGAAAACATTTAGTTGGGAACACCGTGTAAACAATATTTATCAAACCGCCCTACTTTCACGGGAAAACTTTTGCAACGTATTGTAACGTCGAGTAACCGACACGGGATCTGGCATCGTCATTAAATTTTGCCTTTTATTCTTTAGTCCTTGCCGATCAAATTTTTTCGTCATGGCACGGCAATCACGCAGCAACATTAGATAAGGAACTGAAATTGTCATTGCCCCAAACCCATTTGTTCACTCTGAGAATACCGAAACAAAATTCTGTTGGAAAATCAGGGGTTGTTCTCTTCTGCAGCTCGGTATAAAAGATTTGTCCCTAGGCAATATACGCGTTTGAAACAATGATAACTAAGCTACATATCGATAAAAACTCTCAAAAAAATTAGCCACCAAATTCGGAGAAAACGGCCAACGAAGGGATTTGTCATTTTGGGGCCCGAAATCCCAATTTGACATCTTTCTAAATCGATCAGGAAAAATGTATGAGACCACCTATTAAAATTTTGTTCGATACATTGTATAGTATTACTGCTGCTCTATTTGCAATTAATTATTCACGTAACTGTGGCCTCATTGACGGACAAAATTTTTACGAAACCTAAAATGACCGAAAATTACAACGCGCAGCGTATTTGCCTCATAACTTCAAAAGTAGCAAAGGTTGGAAGTTCAAATCGGCCGTGCAGGAAGTTTATAGTTGACCCTCGGTCATGCTAAAATATGGAAAAGATAGGATGGCTGTTTCCATAAATTTTTTGCGTTCGAAAAATTGTAATTACTTTCGGTCCAACCTGATAGTTGCAGCGCGAAGCTATTTTTAGGTTATCCAGACAGCGGAATCCGAGAGATCTAAGGGCTTGGAGCAGGAGGCTAATTCCCGATCCATCGTCATCGTAGAAGAGCTTTTCACAGAGCCCAAAACGAGGAAATCGATTTCTTGAGAGCGATCTCGATAGGTCATACCGACAGCCAAAATCGCGAAAGATCAAAGTCACGACAAAGAATCCCGACAGGGCTCCCGATACTCCTAAATCCCGAAATACAGAATACCGACAACTAAGATCCCGATTGGCTCGAATCCTGACTGTCGAAATCCCGACATCCGCAATTCAACAGCCAAAATACGACAGGCGCTGTCGGTATATGGGCTGTCGGGATGATTGTTGTCGGTATTTTACCCTGTCGTGGTTTTGGGTTTCGGGAATATGCCAGTCGTGGTTTTTGCTGCCAGGATTTTGGTTGTCGGGATCAGGGCTGTCGGGTTCTTGGCTGTCGGTATTTTTGGGTGTCGGGATTCTGGCAGTCGGTATTCAGGCTGCCGACATTTCGGCCCTTTCTTCTTACGGTATGCTGCAAAAAACTTTAGCTCAGCAAATTAATCCGATACGATACGTTACGCTAGGTTCCGATACGCTACTAATGCCAATAACTACAAAATCTGCCATTACACGCCCCAATTACTTGCGAATAAATTGGTAATCCCTAAAAACCAAACTCTCCTCCGAACAGCTGTTGTTTCACCACCGAAAATCCCCGTATAACAACTCAACAGGTTCCGCCAGGTTCCGGTGGCTATTTTTAGCTGCTCCCATCTATTTCTAAGCCCAACACTCTCTGCATGTGCGTCATTCAGCGGGTTCTTTTTCGCAATTTCTCTCTCCACCTCTTGCTCTTTTTGCTTTTGGCGGTGACTCAAGCCCCGCCCCGATGCTCGCATAAAGACCACCAGAGGCCAAAATGTGTTGTAGTGCCGGGGGCTTCTCTTGTTTGTTTGTTTGTTTGTCGGTCCCTCTGTCTGTCTGCCCAATTCCAAGAGGTATACGTATGCATGATTAGCTGCTGCAGGGGGCCAAGGCATGGTCTCGTTGCGTCACGATTTTCGGGCCCTCGCGGCTAATATAAGGGAAAATCGGGGGATTTCGCGATCCCGTAAGTCATTTCCATTATGAGCCAAGCAGTCCGACTGAAGATTTTGGGGTAAGTTGGTTGCTTAGGAACGTTGCGTGGTAGCTTACACCATACCGTAGCTTGGTTCTTTTGCATTATCGGGGGAACTCCCTGCAAGCAATTTTTTTAAGAATCCAATCCCTCAACGAAAAAACTTAACAATGATCTATTCCAAAAGTACAAAAAAATAGTGATTTTTCGACCATAAGGATCAATTTTCGTACAAAATTTCGCCTAAAAAATTTTCCGGGTTTTTTAGTTTTTCTCCCCATAAAACTGATTTTATCTTAATAAAAAAGGTGCGCACTTACCGTCTTACAACAGGATCAGGTTTATCTAGATTCATTGGAAAACATTTTGTTTACCCGTCCCCGCTACTGTTGGGCTTGCAGGAAATACGGTCCTGTGACGCAGGAAAAGCTCGATTTCCAGGCCTTAGGTGACTAATGTAAGCGCAGGCTGGGGTTTCGATTGCCCAATCCAATTCAACTTGGGATAAGAGCTTCTACCGTCAACACCTAGCTTATTTAACTCAAAGCGCACGCCTCCGCATAAATTTCTAAGTTTTTGCGCTTCACCTTGTTGTCGATGCATCGATTCCTAGGTCTAATAATATCAGAATAGCTAATTGTTATAACTGTATATTAAAACTTGCCACAGTACCGATACTTCCACTAAAGCGCAGTCCTGCTGTTTCGCTTTATGGAATATCCATTCGTGAAGTCTAAGCTCAAGTACAATCGAAAAGTTTGCGTACTATCACTAAATCAACAGGTCAAGGCGCTTTTGGGGGGTGCCGATAAGAGCCGCTCAATGGTCAGTAAAGGTCACCTATACAAACAAAAAGTTCTTCACCCCAAAGTCGGTTCTGCTAGGGCTATTCCATAGCTTGGAAAATTCGATCGCGTCGTAAAAATCTGCCGCTTGAATTTAGCTTTACTAAAACATAAACCTTTCTTACTTAAAGCTTTGAGAAATTTAGTCACCCTTAAGCTCGATGTGCTGCTTCATTGTGTGCCTATCGACTACTAATGCCTGTAATTCCATCGCGCTGACTTTTTTGCGCGTCTTAGGTTGGGAAAAGACTAATTTCCATCTAAATAATCCTGGATTGAACTCAGATTGATGAATCACATTCTTTTTGCTATTTGAAACCCTTACTTTCAATGTTCCGGATTTTCCCTTGTTATCCCGGCCCAGCCCGAACCAACGAATGCATTACGCTCGCATACCCGGGGCTCCTATCGACCCGCGCGTGTCACTTATTTACATATCTGACCAGCACCCTACCCGACCCCTCGGGTCATGTGCAGCTGGATGATGAGTCAGTCAGCTGTTCCGGCGGAATAAATACACTTTTTATCGATCTGAGCAAGAGCTTTGTCCCATTTTCCCACGTACCTTAACAATCGAACTGTTTTCGTTGCCCTTTTTATTGTTTTTCTTCATATTTTTTATCGTTTATTTTGACCACTGCGTGCGGCTACTTTCTTTTATTTTGCATAAACTTGGGACTGCGCTCGATTAGCTTGAATTTTTAAATTTTTATAAAAGCTTCAATAGCGGTTTTTTGCGGAACTTGCGTTAAACTACTGATTCCGCGCAGTTCCTTTTGACGTTCAATCGTAACAATTTCCCAGGGTCTGTTTATAAAAATTGCCGGTTTCGCTGTGGCGGTCCAATTTCCTCGCTAGGCAACGGAAATTAGGGCTACATTTTTTGCGGGCCGCTTTTCCTCCACTCTTGTCCGGCTGGAAGTCGGAACTACTGTTTTCGCTCGGCAGGGTGGTTTTGAATTTGATTGGCACATACTTCTATCTCACAAAAATCATAGAGCGTAATTTTATCACGCAGACACCGATACTAAGCACTAAATATGCAAATTAACGCCGTTTTTCACCCATTTAAATTAGGGGGGGGGTATTCCCCCCAACGAAAACCCCCTTGGGGGGGGGGGGGGGGGCGGCCCCCCCCCCCCGGGGGGGGGAGGCCCCCCCCCCCCCCGGGGGGGGGGCGCCCCCCCCCCCCCGGCCGGGGGGGGGGGGGGGGGGGTTGGCCCCCCCCCCCCCGGGCGGGGGGCC